TACGCACAACTTAAGAACAAATCTGTTCTTAATGGTTCTTGCATGAGGCCCATTGATCTTTCCTCGTGATTTCATCTATATGTGAAGTTCACCAATCCCTCCTGCAGCAACACAACATAATACTGCCACCCCCGTGTTTCACAGTCAGCAGGGAACAACATAAGCATTATTTAAGTTGTCCAAGACAACCTGTTTTTGTTTTGGACAACCAGATTGCACCTCCTGGTTGTCCAGTGGACAACGAAGGAAAGAAGACCTAGATTAGTTTTCCTCCGTGGATGTCCATTATTTGTTAAAATCAAAGGGAGAAAAAACTTGTTAAAGCAGTTGAAGGATTAAACTGACATTTTTTTCTCCCGATAAAGAGAGCCGCAGTCAACAAAGTTTTACCCAATCAGAGCAGAGCAGGGTGGGTCATGCTGTCTGACTGACAGCAGGTACACACAGCTGCAGCCCTTAGAGGGCAGGTGAACGCTATCTTTCACCGAGGATTTCATATTCTTTATATAATAGTATTTTTGAAAGCATCTCGCATCCTTTCCACTGTAACACTGTGTGTTCACACACACAACTAAACCACGTGAGATCACTTGACCGTTGTTTTCTGTTTGACCRCGGCTGCTGCATCCCCACCAGCAACAAGACACATTATAACATTGATATATATATTACTATAATAATATAGATCATAGAGGTGCACCAAAAATCGTTGTATATCAGAATCATGATTCTCAATTACAAAGATTCAGAATCAACTTAAAATGTCCCAAAATCGATTTTTATAAATAAAAAATAAAGCAAATCCAATGGCCATCAGCCTTTATTTTGTAACTAGATGGGACATCCTGACATCATCACACAGCTGCTTCTGGAACATGAATGTGCAGAAAGCACCAAAACAAAGAGGAAACTGCAGAACTGGAGGAAAGAGAGCTTCAACTGACCCTGGCTTCATTGAATGCAAAGATTTGGGCTTATTTTTGTTTTTTACTGAACGAGTCTGAGTTTGACATGAGATTCACTTTGTGCAAGGTTTGCAAACTGAAGATGAAGCACTTTGGGAATATGACAAATGGGCTCACATTATCAGTTTTGAATGAAAAATCAATTTTGAATCGAATCGTGGCCCCAAACATCAGAATCGAATCGAATTGAATCGTGAGAGTGTAAATGATTCCCACCCCTGATAGATCATTGTCTAATAACTAAACAGTATTAACGCTGTAATAATATTAAAGAATATTTATGTTTCAGATTCTAACAAAGACTTGTCTCTGTTTGACTTTAATTTTCTTCTGAAATCACAGAATTCACAGAGTCAGCTTCAGGTGTTTTTAGTTTATCATAAATATCTGTTAAATTTAATTCTTCCAGGAATTTTGTCCACTTCTACTGGACTGTCGGCTGTGGGACAGGAATGGGGCTGAGAAAACAGCGCCTGCAGGGCAGAGGGACAGGAGGATGGGTTATGGGAAAAAGTTATTTAATCTTGTTTGTTCTTTTTACATCCTACATGATACAAAATGTAAAATAAATTTGTSTAAAAAAATCAGTAGGTCCTCTGGATGGTTCTTCTTTAGTGAAACATTTCGTCTCTCCTCCAAGAGACTTCTTCAGTCTGAGTTTCAGGTGAACTCAGCCTTATAAGCTCCGCCTCCACATGGACAAACAGGTTAGTCACATGTAAAAGAGGACCATCGACTAACAATAGACTTGATTAGCTCTATTGTTCATAGAGGGTCATGTGACCCATCACCTGACCCGTGTCGTGCTATGTGTATGTAGTGAATGCAAGCGGGGGTTCAACGTCCCCTTGTTTTTGTCCCTCCCCACCTCTTTCTGTTGGTATCGTTGGGGCCCTGATTCACACTTTTTGCTCACTGGGGGCGGAGTCATACCTGCAATAACAGTGTTGTAGGAGGAAAATTTTAAAAATTGAAAATTGAAAATTTTAAAATAAATTTGAAGCAGTCTGGCCTCTACATCTGTGTTCCTGCCAAATGGAGGAAAATCCAAGTAATTTACAGACAATCTGTCCACCTTGACATGTATGTTGGTAGTAGCTGATAGTGATTCATAACACATGCTATGAGTTCCTCACATCGATCAACATCTTCACTTAAAACTTTGGCATTAACGGTTTGTGTCAGCCCTTTTGTCTGTTAGCAAAATATCTCATGAAGCACAGGACAGGTTTTATTGGAAATTTCAGAAGCCAGTGATTAGATGTAATCTGAAAGTTATTCAAGATGACAAGTTTAACTCTTATCACACGTGTTTTCAGTTTATATTTTAGCTTTAATCAAAGTTCAGCGGTAGATATTTATGAATTTAATGGGAAAACTGAACAAATTKATCACTTTTTAGTCCAAACTGTTCAAACAAGTCATGTCATTCCTTTTTTTAAAATCTTTCTGAGTTCATGTCTGACAGGTGACAGAAAGTGTTGTAGGATGATGTGAGAAAAATGCACGTATCAGATAAAAGCGTCGTCTGCGGGCAGCTTGCAGCCCGTCTTTTCTGCACCTGCTGATGTACGTGCACAGGCGTGAGCGTCGAGCTGCTGCAGGAACAAGGCCAGGCTGCAGAACGTCTCGTTTTGCATAACCTCCTCCTCTTCCTCCTCACAGACAGTAACCAACCGTTCACACTCATCRTCACATTGTCAGCAGTTTGACACACGTTGCTTTTCTTGTTTTTAAAGATCTCTGAATTGATTTGATCCAAATGGTAAATGAACTGTACTTACATAGAGTGCTTTACACTACAATCATTTACCCATTCACACAGCCCTCTTAGATCTCACTACAGAGTTAATACAGGYGAATCAATCTGAGACTAATCAGTTCTTTAAATCACACTCACACACTGATGGGACACACATCAGAGGCAGTGGRGGGGTCTGTGTCTTGCCCAGGGACACTTCAACATGTGACAAAATAGYRAAATGGAACYGCCAACTCTCATTTRTGCTAWGAGTCAGCTGGGGTCAGAACTTCATGAACGAGGTGGTTCTGGTTCTGTGAAAACAGGGACGTCTGCTGCCCCATGCTGCTCAGAGCGGTGGTGAAGTTTAAATGCAGTCAGCGGGTTTCCTTAGATAGACGTGTTTCAAATAATCAGACAGCTTGTTKTTGGACTGCGTCAGTTACGGGCTGCCACTTGGTTATTTTCTGTGTAGTTGACCTTTGAATTTAAAATGTAGCTATTCTTTCACATCCTGCCTTCAGACATAGACCTGCTTCTWTAAACTTCTGGTAAGAACTGATCCCACACTTGCTCTCAGGTCTTTGTGGGATCTTCTGTTTTCTGGTAAAGAATAAAACATATTACATTAACTTCACTTTATAAGTACTTAAAAGATATTTCACATTCATTTCACAGTTAGCATCATTCTGTATGAAGCACTGTATGTAAATTCTGAATCACTTCTATTATACTAAGAACACCACGTCTATTGAGCAACTTTTTTGTGTTACACCAATAATTGTAACTTTTTTTACGTAATARTACTTTTTGATCAAATATGTTTGAATAAATAAAGACACCAAACAGAATGCTACAGTTAGTGTAGATACAATTGTGCAACAGATGACAGAAACAGCTCTGCAATTTCTAAAGCGCTTATGTAAATATTTAGGTTTGCAACCACAAAAGTGCTTATGACATAGAAAAACTAGCGGACGCTAATTTTAAATTGTAAGTTCAATTTGACACTTACTAGCTGGCAAAAAATCATGTACAATATATGCACAACACTGCCAACTAGTGGTGTATGAACTCTTTTACAGCTTAATTCTACAACCACTGATTGCTGGGGATGTGATTTCCTGAAACAGAACTTTAGCTCCTGGTGTAAAAATTAAAAAGTT